TCGCAGCCATTATTTGCCTTAGAATTCGGAATTTGAAGTCTTGATTGAATTTTGTTTATTGTGCCGTGACGGATGTGTCCTGGAAAAATTAATAAGAGAGCAAGCTAAGTTTAAGGTGTTTTGTGTGTTTTGACCGGACCATTGCACACAGCATAATTGTTTGCTCGCTCTACGTGGGGCATTGCATTTATTTTTGTATGCGGCCCGAATGCTTGGGTCACAGCAATACACTCCCCCTTCAGTAAATAAATTGCCTTTTATACAGAAAACTAGACAGACCCATTATTTTCAGGATTTGCTTACATAAAGCGTAAGGGGAAAATTGTTCAAAAAATTTATACAGGGTGCTCAAGAATTTAGGTCATAGTTTTAAAAATTTCAACTGTCAAAACTCCTACTAGACCATTTTAAAGATTTTATTTTCATTTAGATTTAGGGGCGCACCGAAAAAAATTCAGGGGTAGCAAATGGAAAATGACCCTTAAGAAAATCAACATTCTGTAGATTCTTACTATCATTGACATGACCAATAATGATGTAGTTCTTCAGCGTATCTACTAAATATCACAAAAACTGCAGGAGGTATAAAAAAAATGAATCGTGAAATTATAACTCTCTGTATATCGGTAATGAAGCGATTGCGATTCGTCCCTTCCGTATGTACATCATATTTAGGATTAGGAACACCCTGTATAAAATCCATCCCTTTTCACATTTTTAATATTATTAGTTCAACTATAAACAATGGCTATTGTGCAAGAATAAAAAAAATTCAATTAAATTTGACCTTCAATTATGGTCAAAATATTAATAAAATAGAACCTGCACGTATGGACTAATTTTATTACAATTAGAATACGTAAGATGTTAAATGACAACTCCAGGAAATGGAATAATAGACTATATGATGGTGTTGCGCAGGGACAGACGGGCTTGTACCAGAATGGTAATATAATTTAAATTGGTCTATTTATTTTCATTTGGCTCTATCGTTAATAAATGGTTTTTTTTTGTAGAAGATGGTCAGTCTTAAGAAATTTCCGAAACAAGATCGCTTGGTGTTTGTGCTAGTGTATCTGTTTAAAGAAAATCGCAGTTACGACCGGATGTTAAGGATTATTAACTTTGAGGCAATTAAAATTTTCTTTAACTGATTTGTATCAATCGATCGCATGCGCGTGGTATTTGTCCTTAGGCCCTGAGTGCATTTCTTTATTACAGCCATTGATTTATGTCGAATAAATTTGCTTCATCTGTAAATGATCAGCTTTGTGTTTAATCGAGCCCAAATTACGACCCAGGATATAAGAGTGCACAAGATAAATTCTATTCGTACACAGGATTATGTTAGGGATTAATTAAAATTTCGTTAAATAATTCTTTGGAATTGCGGAAGTGATCAAGGCTGCCGAATTTCTCAAATAAATAAATTTAAGTCAATATCGAGATTTTTGTCGTGGCGGACACTGGACGTGCCCTAGAAAAATTATAATTATTTTGTATAAATTTAAAATGTTTTGCCAGTAACGGAGTATAATTGAGTTAGCTAGACAGGTGTTCGTGAGGGTGGTTTAAGTGACCGTTTGTCATTGTACACAGCATTTTTATTCGGTGCCCTTACGGCGGAGGGAAACGGAAAACTTAAATTTGAGTTAGGGGAAGTTTGTCTTAGGGTAACAATTTCTTTTGGAACCCAGACATTTTTTGAGGAAAAGGAAAATTGTACTGTTGAATTTAGTGGATTTACGATTATATAGGGGTAAAAATTGTGTAGGTCCGTACGAAAAAGTTTGCAGGGTGTGTTTTCTTTTTTCATTTAAATTGAATCCGGAATATCGCAATACCGACGGAAGTTGGCACGGAGATAATACCCGGCTCGATAGACGTGCGTGAGGGAAACGTAGAGGTGTCTGCAATGGGGATGACGACAATACAGGAACGACATTTCGCTGCAATCTTGGAGGCCCTAAGAGAATCCGGGGAAAAAATGGAAAAGCCGACTGGGCAATCGAATGAAAAAATGGAGAGGTTGAATGCGCAATCGAATGACAAGACTAAGAGAATAAATAAGGAATTGGATTTGGAAATAAAGGCAACGAGAAGGCGCTCCTTGAAGAGATAAAAAAAAGTTACTGAAATCGTAGAAGAAATACGAAGCCGACCTCCAAACCACATCAGATAGTTTAGTCGAAAGTTCGGCAACAGGAGTAAGAAACAGCAGCAAGCGATTGGAGTTCATAAGGAAGTTGTCCAAATGCATGAAGAAGAGGCTTTAGTTCAGAAGCAGCAGAATGCGGTTGCAGGGGTGTTTGTAAAAGTAAAGGACTAAAGGTTGAAAGTAAACCGTTATGAATGGAGCCTGTGGGTGGGCGAAAGAGAGTATTCTTGCTCTTTTGGTAGGTTAAGTTATATGATAAATATGAATTTTTGACGTAGGTATGCTTGTGTTTAGTAATGAAGAGAATATTTTGTGGATTCGGAATTTTAATATCCTGCATTTTATAAAGAGGCGAGTGGCATCGTCGCCCCATTCCCATATAGCCACATTCATTCATGCTTCGAAAAGTTGTAATAGAGAATTTATATACGATGGACATCTTTGCCCTTAATTTAATCGTAATTCTACCGGATGAAGAAGTTCTCATTTTGTGCTTTATGGCACCCTCTAGGTACGTGTTTTATTTTGCATTGCAATCATCTCACTCAGTGCTTTCCAATTGCAGATAACCACCTGCCTCCAGCAGTTCCAACAGACCGCAGCTGTACCGGTTATCAAAAAGATTAACTACATGAAAGTTCTTCAATTCTTAGTATCTGTGTTCGGAGTAGCTATTTCACGTGTAGCGTTACATATTCAAGATCGAAGAGAAAATTTACATGACCAAAATCATGCATGCAGAACCTCGATATCGTAAAGGGCTCTAAAAAGCCCATCATCCCCATTAATATAACTGTGGAATAAAAACGTATTAAAATTAGTAACCTACGCGAATGTTTTACACAGGAAATCCTTTGCATGCATGAACATTTTTCCAATATGTGTTATCGTCGGATGAATGAAACTTCCATGTAACTGTAATATCCAGAGCGCGAATATTGATGAAATGATAAATTATTTTTACATATTGTGGGAGTTAGTATTCGTCTTTCCAATTTTAATTGCGCAGTTAAAATTGAGATCGATATTTAATAACGCAAACTCCTGGGAAAGCAAGAGATTTTTCCTAATTAAGCGTTTGGCAATAAGCGGATGTAATAAAGAAAAACTTATGTGTGTAGTCCGCCAACAAAGTTACTTTATATTGAACGTAATTTGAAAGCGCTTCAGTAAATCGTACTTACAATAATTTTCAAAATTTTCGAGTTGAAATTCAACAGGTTAATTAACTCAGGTAATAGTTTTCGAGAATGAAGAACGACTAAACTTAGAAATAATCGTAGGTTAATAAAGCTGTTTATTGTCGAGATAGGCGTCGGTTTACAAAATATGAAGCATTTGGGAACAGTTCTCGTCTTGAAAAGTGAATTTGAAACAAAAACGAGCATCTAGTGGGCATTCACAGGGGATGTAAAAGTGCTTATGTTTCTACCGAGCCTATCTCTATCTCTGTAGGAATTTATATACATACTATCATAACGAGAATATTCTGTACAGTGTTATCTTTTATTATTAATAATAATAGTGTTATTAATTAACTTACCAGCTGCAATAATATGAAAAACGCAAGGAACTCTCTGATGCCCGATTCTGTTCGAAGCGTAGCACAGCAAAGTGCCATAATCCAATTCAGTCATTGGCGTATAAGACACTACACTCGATGTACCACTTCTGGCAATATGAGAAGAGGCAACATCCACGGAATCCGCCGAATTATTAAAGGTCCACCTGAATTGCACGTCCGTAGGATTTGCGTCCACTTGACATGTTATTCTTGCCTCTTCCTGTTTGGCCACTCCATATACTCTTGTTTGATTAGGCTTGCACGTTGGGGTAACTGTAAACAAATTTCGGCATGAACATTGTCAGTTAATTTAACCATAAATACTTCAATACCTGCTGAATTGATCACTTATAAGCTTTATGTAGTACTGTTCGTACGCACACATTTAGAAATTAAAAAATCATCTGGCAAATAACCACCCCAAAGTCTATCTATTCTTTATTTAGTATTATATCTGAAAGTTACCTTTGTAAGTTTACTTCAACATTTAAAAGTGCGAAACTATGAAATTATCTAAAGCTCTTACGCTATTTTAACGCTGCTGGTGGAACGACGTAATAAAACAAGTTGTAAATCAGCATATGCATGATTAAAGCGCATTTTTGGTAATGCAGGTCAGTATTTTATTAGCAGTTTAAAATTATCGATCTCACGAGTAATTTTGGCTGCGTTAAATAATTAATTTTATTTAATTTCAATTGACGGTACGTCTTCATTTTGTAAAACAAATCACAAAGAAAATAATAAGTTTTTATACTGGTAGCGCTATCTAACGGTAAAATTATAGCACCTCCGAAACCCATATCGAAATTATTTTCTTCAATTATCGATCTCACAAGTAACCTAACTCAAAATAGACTAGTGCCTGCACATCTACACTATAGCAGAAAGCTTTTAGTGAAAATTTGAATTCTCTAGCTATTGTAGTTGTGGAGATCTCACGCGGACAGCCGGCCTGCCAGCAATAACGAATATAATAGCGTATTTTTTTCAAAAATGCGCTAAAAAACTAAAATATACCCTGAAAATCGGTTATATTAATGTTTTTAATTTTAAGTGCCAAACCCTGTATATTTTATTATTATAGGACGCAGAACAAAACGCTACATAACAAATGTATAATTAACTAAGACTTTTTTTTTATTCAATCAATCAATCGCAAGCTTTTTACAATAAAACAAAACCAAAATGCATTTTTTTCCCCCTTCTCCCCCCCCCCCCCCTCATCCAAGTAATTCTTGAACTCCCTCTCTACAATTTCCCTGTTTCATCGCCACTACTCCCTTTTTCATTAATCTTCTTATCTGCGTATTTGACCTATTGTTTCCTTGCATTTGGTACCCTAAATATTTAATGTAGGGATTAAATGACGCCCTGTCTTAGTCCAAATCACTTCAGACTCCTGCCCTTCTATTCCCAACTTCAACTTTGTCTATACATATAGTTCCTCGATTCTATCGTTAACTTGTTAATTTTTTTCCATCCTTTTTCCCTTTCCACTCTGTCAACCGCTGCATTTAAGTCGATGAAAAACACGAACACATTTCCACCCTTTTTCCCAATGCCTTTTCCACCAATCTGTGTAATACATATATGCAGACGATATTTCCCCTCCCGTTTCTGAAGCCCATCTGTGTTTCTTTCACTACTTCTTTCACACTTCTTTTCCTAGTCTTTTGTTCAGTATCATTGCATAGATTCTACATGCCGTAGTCATTATAGTAATTTCCCTATAATTTCCCACGCAATCCTTGTTCCTTATATGAAGATTGGCACAATGGGGGTTTACAGTATAGTTGAATTCCGCAGTTCTAATTTAATAAGCGTGTACCTGAAACCATAAAACATTTTTTTGGACAGTAAAAGTTTATTTAAAAATAGAGGCTGATTAGCAAAAAAATAATGAACATGTGCGGTTTTAAAGGTTTATTCAAAACGATATGATTGTGGCGGGCTCTGTGACGTAATAAGCCCGACCAATCAGCTCCTAGAACCATTCAGATGACATAACGACTTGGCAATATTGCAGGAGAATGGCATTTATAACTTGCGTCATCTGTCACAGGCACTTGTCACTTTCGTGCTAGATGCAGTTAAACATCCCTCTCAAAACGTCAAATGTGACAAACGTCAGACCCTCGCGTAAGGTTGCCAGCTCACTTCTACGTGATTGGTTGTAGGTTTGTGACGTATTTAGTCTGAAGCGTTTCAAATTCGGACTAAAAACACAGCTTTTCAATAATTTATTTTGGGTTTATTTTACTCGCAAATAAAAATTGAGGACACACGGGTCTTTTTATTTTTAATGTACTTTGTGGATCAGAAATAAAAAATGAAGGCGGGATGACCCCATTACCCTTCCCTCCCTCTTCGGGTAAACGACATCCTTTCCATACCTTGTTTACAAGATTTCTCATTCGTTCTTTGACCAAATCAGCGGTGAAACCGCATTACCTATCTGGTTTTCCCTTTCTTCGGTCTTTTTAATTGCTGCTCGATCTCCTCATCCATATCCTTCTCTTTCTCCTGCTTTCCTTGTAGTAACTTGTTATTTCCATCCCTCTAATTGAATTCCCTCCCCCAACGTGTTCATCTGTTTATAAAAAATCCTCTCTATTTTTATTTCCTTGATCTGCTCTTCGTATTCTTTCTGTTTCTCCATCTTCTTTTCCTTACATTTTTTGTACTTCTTTCTGTTCTACCAGGCCTTTTTTCCTCTATGACAACTTTTCTTTCTTTCTCCATCATTTCTCTGTATCTATTTCTCTGTTCTGTATACTCTTTGTATCACCACTCCTTTCTTTTTGCTCTCCCCTTCCTTTCAGTTATTTCCACGTAATTGCTTTTCTCCTTTATAGTATTCCACTCCTCTGTATTCAATTTTAGGCTCAATTCCAACATTGGTGATCCGATTCTCTCCTTGTTCCTATCCTAAATTCATCTGTTCGTTTTAGTATTGTTAGCGCATTTTCCAACGAAGTTGGATGCGCTATTGCAGCTACTTTCTCTCTCCGTCCGTCTGTCTGAGGACGTAACTACTCCTACAGTTTTTAAATTATTTAGTTCGTTCTTTTTGCATTCGGTCGGTAGCGTATAGCCCTGGCACCTGAGACAAGGAAAATCTTGACGGTTAAACTGCGCAACATCAACTTTCTTATTTATTAATATATTTTGTTGAAATTTTAACCACAGACAGTTCTAGTGGTGGCAAACAGATCGTATATAGTAAAAATCAGATGTGCGCATGCGCACACTGCGCAATGCCAACTTTCTTTTTTATGAAGATATTTATTTCAAATTTTAACCAAGGATACTTTTAGTAAAAGCAAACGTATCGCATATTGTAAACTTCAGATTAATGTGCGCATGCGCAGGATGCACAATATCAACTGTCTTATTTATCAAGATATCTTTTTGAAATTTTAATCACAGACGATTCTGTTAAAGGCAAATGTCTGAAATTGCAAACATTAGATGTGCGCATGCGCAGTCAATTTTAACCATAGATGCCCCTAGTAAAGAAAAACATACCACATTTAGTAAAAATCGAAAACCACAAATGTTATTAGCAAAGGCAAACACATCGCACATAGTTTGCAGACTGCAAAATGCCACCTGATTTACTTATGAAGATCTCTCTCTCCCTCTATTTTCATGAGTTCACTAGGATCAAAGAGACTTCAAGTCATCACCATCAGCGTTTAAACGGAGAGAGAAAAAATTCATGAGACTAATAAGAGTAGAATCCGTTCGATCTATGAATCCAGGTGTGAACAAGAAGTTTTGATATATTTTTTTGCTCTTGGTTGAATTTTTTTAACGGCACGACCCAGTGCACAAGGAAAAATGGCTTTATTCTACCTCTCCGTGAAGTTAGTCTAGCCAGCTTAATTTTGTAGTAACTTCTCCGATAAGTCTATGACTTTTATCTAATTTAATGTAAAAACAAACAAACGAAATCATACGCCAGCATAAGCTATAAACCTCCACATTTTGAACAATCTCAATAAAAACGCAAGCAATTAATTCAAAGTAGCAACGAAATTTTATAGCAGAGATAAAATTGAATGTTTTTTGATTATGACTGGGATACAGTAATTATTTTTTTTATAAAGCTCTCATTAAAATTGTGCTGATTTGTAAATAAAACTTTTTATATTTAAAATTTTCAAGCTTGTAACTTTCATCCCTTACTTGCGTAACTAAGCTACAAAGTTTGTGGTTTATGGATGAAAGGAGAGCTTCAACACTCATTAGTTTGCACTTAAGCCCATAATTTATAATACCAACAACTTTTCCTTCGGTTTTCCGATTTTGAAAACTTATAAACGTTTTCCCATCTCTCTTTTCATGCAATAACAAAAGGTACGTATGTGAAATGGGAACGGCGAAAACCATCTAAATCTCACCTAAAAAACTCACCAACGTTAATTTCGCACATCCATGTGTTGGTAAATTCAAAATACGTATCTTTTTTACTGCAATATTCGTAAAATTTATGAGTTCCATTTCACACTTCGTGATCAACGCAGTTACACATTTTCATTTTGTTTGATTTTCCAATGTTACAGACGCAGTTATACTTACACATGACGTTTAAATAGAAGGGTTTGCTTTCACCATCGCCCTCGGTGTTATATCCAACGCACGTGTAATTCCCAGCAGTCGATCTGGAAACTCCTTGAAGCACGAGGCTTTGATTGCTAATTATTGTACCCGATCCCACGTTGTGTTGTAACGCCTTGCTCTGAAACAAAACGGAGCACTATGAATGAGTTGTGTAATGAAGGAAGAATTTGATGCGATGCTTTATTAGCTTTACTTGGGGGATGTAGATAAAGTATAATCAGTAATAATCACTAAGGAAAATGCGGCATGTTTCATGAAATTAGGATCAAGTGTCTAATGAAATAAGTAAATAAGGGGTGCAGTTTGGGTGTGGTAATACGGAAATCAATGGAAATTGTATTTAATGACTCAACGATTTTCCTGCAGTAGTCCCAATATAAACAATATACGAACTCGGTGCAAGGGTAATAGTCTAAGAGCTAGTGACTTTTATTATTGTTGATATACCACCCCGCGCCATCCACGAAATTTCTGCCAGACGCTCGAATATGTTATTAGCATATACATAACTATCTTATACCCAAATATCAACAATAATAAAACTGTTTAAAAAAATGTGCCATAGTCTCTTACTATAAGGAATTTGAAATGAGTACGTCAGATACTCTCATATTGCATATGGAAATAGTTATTTACATAGTTTTGTATTACAGTTTTTCTGAAATGTCTTTTTTAATATAAAATTTTTATTTTTATCTATAACTTTTGAGTAGTCGTGTCAATGTGCCAGTGATGGCAGTAGTCATTAGACATTACCAATGTGACAGGCAGCAGGAAAGGAAGTAAAGTGACGGGTGGCAGGAAAAGCAGTCAGGAAAAGTGTTACTGCCAGTATCATGGAAATTAAAATTTCCTCATATAAAGTAGGTATGACGATTTCGGGAACATACTACTGAAATAAGAATGGTGCTTTTTGTTATAACTAAGAAGTCCATTCTATATCACGGTTGTTGAGACCTAGCCGAGATTGCCTAACAGGGGTTAGTTCATGGGCCAGTCAACATGTCGATATAATTTTCCTTTTTACAATCGGTATACAGGTTTATTAGGATGCCTAAACACCATAATTGCCATCTCAAAGCGTGAGCTAATAGAAATGGCGGTCAATCAAAGATGGTGAATGTTACCTTGCATAACCAGAATAAGACCAAATAAAGTACCAAATGATGATGAATGTGCTACAGTCGAAAAGTTGGCATACGAGCTTTACGACTTTTTATTCTTGAATCCAAAAGTACAGCCTCAAAGTTTTCTACTTGCGAAACCATACCCTAACCGAGAATATAAAAAGAAAAGACAGCTTGCCATTTACCACTATGGTTTGTGCGAGCAAAATTGATCAAAAATTTCAAACATATTTTGATAACCACCCCATCGATTTTTGAGAGCACAACATTTATAAAATACCTACACCATCTACTGCAGCATTTGTCCTTAACATTTTTTCAATTTTTTTTCAGTTTCGATTTCCAAAATGGCGCCCCTCCGCAGGATAGATTGGAAAAAAATGTTTAAGGACAAATGGTGTAGGGATTCTATAAATGTTTTACTTTCAAAAATCGTGGGGTGGTTACCAAAAAATGTTTTATTAAACTTTTTGAACGGTCGCTATTTTATTATTCAAAAAAATAAAAAAACAATTATAAATGCAAATGTTTTAGACAGTTAAAACATAGTTTTTAACATTTTTGGTTTTTTTCAATAATAAGCAAGTTATAACGCGAAAAACAAAAAAAAACGCCAATACTTCGGTGCCACACCAAATCAAAAATTGGAACTGAGAAAACTTGCTTGTTTTAATCAGTTCTAACTGCCGTGTTCGAGAAAAACGACTTAATATTAATACCCTGTATGTACGACAACGCTAGATTTATCCCAACGGCTATTTTTGAAGTGAGTCATGTGTTCTTTAAAACAAATTTTGAATGGTCTCTTTGCTCGCCCAATATATACTTGATTGCAATCTTTACAAGATATTTTGTATACTCCCGATTTATCCTTCATATGTAGGGGGTCTTTTGGATTACCTAAGGGTTTGTGTATACTACCGTCTGAAGTTGTAACATTTTGTAAATTTAATCTGAAAGATTTTAGATGGACATCTAGTGTATAAAGGATATTTGCCCAATTTAACCAAATTTCTTCTTTTCTAATTTAACGTTGTTATATTCTTCGTCTGATGTCTTGTGTGTCATCGTAAGTTGTAATTTTAAAATCTTGCCCCTAATCGGCACAAACCCAGTATTTTATTTACTAACTAGCTGCCCGACCCGGCTTCGCACGGGTGTTTATAATTTTCGTATTCGTAGTTACATGTTGGGATGGATGTGTATGATGTTGGTTACAGAAAAAATATTACCTTAAAATTTGGATTGAAACTCCTTTCCCAAATTATATTTGCACCAAAGAATGATGTCATTTGGAATACACATCAGTTTATAACTGTTGAATATTCTGCAAGAAATGCTTCGATGCCCGGAAAGAAGTAATGAATTCAGTGGTTCAGGTGGCGTTGTAAGTTGCGGTAATTTGACCTTTCTACTGGTACAATATAATCCTGCTGGTTCTAGTCGAAACCTGAAAAGCGGAAGGAATTCTGTGGAGTATTGGACTCGATCATCAACTTTTTGAAGACACTCGGGTTTACATTAGAACCTAGAACTGCCGTTTTCTTGTTCCCAAAAAATACTCTCTCATTGCCCCTTTTTGAGTACCGTTGGAATATTCTTAATACAACGTTTTGTTTCGGAGAAATTATCACAAACTATACTTTTTTATATGGCCCGTGGAAAAAGTACACATTGTATTTAGTAGCACTTTTTATTAAGAATACAACTATGTACGCCACACAAATAAAAATAAAAGTTGGACATTGTTGGTTTCAACAGGATGGTGCATCTACGCACATCTTAATCGTGCAAGTATATGTATCTAACATTTTTCTATTTTCCAGGAATTAATCCGATAGGTATGCTCGCAAGTTGTGCGCGGGTGCTGTCTTGTAGAGTTCAAAAAGTGGCAATGAGAAAAGTGTCTTTTATATTTCTCGTTGTATCTGTTCAAATAACACCAGCAAAAAATAAACATAAAATCGGCAAGTTTCGGTTTTTCTGTCATATCTTCGGAAGTAATCGGAATTTTTTTGTTTTCTCTAAAGCACGATAATAATGGTTTAATTGCGCATCTTTTCTCTAATTTGACCATCGTCGTATCTTCTATGGTTTCGCTCTCCATGATAGACATCCTTCTCTTGGATACTCTTTCCAAGCGAGAGAAAGCCCGTACCTCGTCGTACCTACTGTAGTTTATAGTAAATCTTAAATTACTTCTTAAACCTTTGGTAAATTTAATCCCTTTATGGCTTAATTGTATGTTGGGTCGATCTAATTTGATGCGCGTAAATAAATTTCGGCGATTCATTTTTATATATATAGGCTTTCGCAGTCATTCGTCCTGCAATCGGATGAATAGTTTAGGGACGTACGTCTAATCCCCAAAGTTTAGTCGCAATCGGATAAACGGTTTAGACAGCTGGCAGAGGCATCATAAGAGACAAGACGAATACAATTTTATTTACTTAGGTACATAAAAACCTTGAAATATATCCAATCATTACCCAAAGTTTCGTCGCAATCGAATGAATGGTTTAGGCAAGCATAAGGGACATTCATACGTACAGACAGACGGAAATTTTTTAGTATATAGAAACCTTCTCGGACATACGTCCAACTATTCCCCAAAGTTTCATCGCAATCGGATGAACGGTTTAGGCAGGCATAAGGGACATACAAACATTCATTTTTATTTATATTGTTGTGTTATTTTGTTTTAGTTGTAACTTGAAAGAAATTATAGAGCGTCTGGATGTGACAATTTTGTTTAGTTCAATTAATTAACCGGGGGGGTTATTAATAATTTGAGACACAGGATTGCGTAAATTTCATGTTATAGTTTTGGTTCAATTTCTTAGAAGTGTTCTGTTTTTATTTTATTCCTAGAATTTTTTTCGATGTAAATTTCTTTTTAAATTTTATTTGCCGTTAACGAGGTATAGCGCGAAGTAGAGATAAGGTTCTTCGCAGAATTGCCGGGCGTACGTGCCGTTTAGCAAGAAGTTGAAAAATCGACGCTTCGCGTGATTGGCGGACGGGATGTGGAAGAAAGGAGAAGGGCTTTTGGCTTAAATAGAAAATTTTTGAAGAGAGCGGGGCTTTTTAGTCGTTACAAAGCCAACCGGCGCTTCTTCGGTTACGTTATTTTTTGAATTTTGTGGAAGTTTTCCTGCGTAGTTGGATCCAGGTTTAATTAGAATTTTGTGTCTGCCGTTTTAAGAAGAATTTTTGAGAAGTTTAAGAAGTTTGTCGTCGTCCTGTTTTTTTTTATTTTGCGGAAACACGGAAGTTTTGAATTTGTGGGTACCCGAAGAGAGAAGACGTCGGTGTTTGAGTGTTTGGTTTGCGTGTTTGTGTACGGATACCTCTTTTTATCGGAGTACGTTACTCGGACTAATTTTAAAAGTAAGTAGTAGTTAGTGTTTTGTTTTGTCTTGTTTTTTTTTGTAATGTTTGAGTAATTTGTTTTTTTTTTGTGTGTCATTTATCTGTTTAAAATTGTAACAATTTGTAAAACAGAAATTTACGCAATTTTTTGTTTGAAATTAAACCAGTCATTGCAATCCAGGTTTTGTTTATTAGAGTCAAGGAGAGGTAATTGTCGGCGTCTCTTACTTTGTTTCAAGTTGATTAAATCTGGGGGTAAAGTTTCATATTGGAATTTAAGGATTTGGTTAAGCCACCTATTTATGTCATTGTTGGAATGCTGTAGGGTGGCAGAATCCAGCTGGATCTTGAGATGCGGATAAAAATTTTGTTTTCATTTTAATTACAACTGAGCTAGCTAGAGGTAAATCGTGGGATTCCCAGAAGTAAAGGTTAGGTCTCACAAGAGATGTGCAAAAGATACAAAATATCGATCTTCCACTGTATAACTGTGGGGCGATTAAAATCACTTTACTATGCATACCCTCAAAGTAAATAGACATCAAAATGCATGTACAACATTGAATACAAATACATTTTGAGTACATAATAAGTAGAGAGTCTATTTATAAAACTTTATCCTTCAATTATAGATAGCTTTGTTCTACAGAGATGTATAGAGAATGGTTTAATTTTGTTGACAGCATAGGAAATGAATAATTTTCTCTTTTTCGAATTAAATCTTGCGGCAAATTGTATTGACATTTAGTAAAACTTTATGCAGAATAGTCACCGAATATCTTCCATTCCGTTGTTGTTTACTGATTTGATGATACCGAATTGATAAAATTGCCGACTGGAGGGTAAAACTTCGGGTCCTGCGCCAAAGCCTAAAGTTGTGTTTGGGTCGTTGGCTCAGAGGGGCATTCCGACGCCAGGGACCAATCGACTAAAGATAGGGTGCGCCGCGAACCTATGGCCAAGTCGCTGCGGAGGGGCTAAGAGTGGCCATCGCACGCGGAGATGGACATCACTATGAGCCCCAGTAGAGGTGCATTATGGCAGTTGTTGACGACATGGAGGGGAGCCCTTTCCTCGGCTGACAGGGTCCTGATGGAATGCAAAGGGTTCCATTGTGACAACCAGTGGACCTTGGACTAGTTGGAGAGGGGTCCCTCTTATTACGCCTTGGGATGGCGCATCTCTGAAGGTTCAGAGGCTTGTGTTATACGGACTCCCGGATGACACGGTCACCATCTTGAAGCTCCTCCAAAAGCAAAATCCTCATTTTAGCCCGAGTCTATGGAGCACGTTCATCCTCGGGGAGTCCTGCTAGGAGTACTCGCAAACAACTGACTTTAATGTTTTAAATCGAGGAGCAGCCCCTACCTTCGACACAGCGCGGAGGCAGGAGATTATTGATGTGACGTTGGGCTCCTTTTCAGACCACATGCTCATTCTTTCCCAACTAAACCTGACATCCCTCTGCGGGCCCCGCAGGTTTCGGAATTCCCGATCCACTGACTGGGTCTACTATGTGGCGATACTGTCAGAGCGGTTGGATTGGTCACCTCAGTCCTGTCGGAGAGCAGGGCAGGTGGAAGAGGCGGCCGCATTGGTAAGCGACACCATAACGTCATATGAGGGCAGTTGTAAACTGCGGACTTTTCGAGGAACGATAGAGAACACCTTGGTGGAACTCAGAGGGCACATTGAGGGAATTGGCAAAAAGGCTACTAGGTACATGTCTATAGGCATGTGGAAATGCTTTGAGCTGTGCCATGGGGCTCGACCTTCGAGTGGTATATTGGCTTTACACTGTTGTAGTGATCAGGCCAATAATACTGTACGGTGCAGCTTATGGCCACCATGTCTTTATATAGTCACTGTATTTTACAGTACATGGTTCATCCCCAAGCCATGATCGTAGAAACCATTTTTTCTTACTAAAAAATGTTATATTACTTTATGAGATGCAGCCGCGTGCCATTCTTATTTGGCCCTCTGGTAGGTACGAGTCCTACGTCGCTGGGTATTTATCTTTGTAGTACAATTGGACTCGGTAACGATTTCTACCAAACGTAGTAATACAACAATAAAAGAAGGACATATACAGGATGAGTTTTTTTTAATTTTCACTATAGGGATACAAAGTCGCTTAAACGGACAGTTTCATTTTCCAATTTAATTTAAGTTATGGACAAAACACCGACAAATGTAATTTTCAAAATGCACTAGCGTTCGTTTATTTTCAAAGATATCAAAAAATAACTTTAGCAAACCCTTAGTGATTTTTTATCTGTTTTCTCCATGTCTTACGGTTTACGAGATGTCCATAGTGAAAATGAGAAATAACTCACCCTGTATAAAAAACAAAGTTTCGAATACCGCTCTAAAAATATCAGACGTTTAATTGTATACCAACTTCAAAGCGCAAAACACTAATGATTAATGATGATATGCAAACGATTTGAATTACGTTTATGGAATAATAAAATGGCGGTAGCTGTATAACACTAATTTTACTTACGTTATGTCTCCATTCGACTTTATAAACGTGTGGATGTGCATTAACGATGCAGTCGAAATAAACGTCCGTGCCTTCTCGAATAGTGTCAGGATTGAGGGAAGTGCCCAAGATTATCTTCGCCTCGGGAGTATCTGTAACGCCAGTTCTAATTACCGTCGGATAATGCCAGGAAATTGTCGTTTAGTAAGTTAATGCTACCCCTGTACGCGTTGTAAAATGCCTTACATTAGCTTATAAATTTCTAGAATTTGCAAATATGTAAATTACACATTCCCAAATTTCAATTCTGCTAATGCTTATATCTCAATTAGGAGGAGGAAAAAATGGTTCCCTTCAAAAGGACGTTTTAACTTTTAAGACTTTTGTTCACGTAAAGAATGGGGGAGAGTAGTTAAAGTGTAGTCGTTTACATTCTACAAAGTGTGAAATATACTTAAAGTATAATTGCAAGCGAAAGGATGTCTTTTCATTTTTCAAAGATAGAGCTGTAATTTAATAAGAACTTGAGATGTAATGGATACTGAAGCGTTTCAGCAGTCTTCCAGGGGAAGTGTAGTTTAATTAAGGCAGACATGAACGCTCTCTTTATGGTAATTATTATTTTTCTGCGTTTGGTCATATATTTTGTGCGGTTTATAATAAACTTACACTGAATTTCTAATTTCCACCCATCTTCCAGGCCATCAGCTGAAAGCATTTTGTTCTCGGCCCTGCACGATAAATATTTTCCATCATCCTCCTTTCGTGCGATGAATGATAATGTGCTCGTCGTCGTGTTGCCATCGTTCGAAGTCTGTAATGTAAAAACCAGAAAATCATAATTAGCCGTCGGGTTATCTATTAATAAAATTTCAGGTTAATAACGCGCATTGCAATTATGAACCACTCTGGTAATTTTCTGCCACCGCCGCATTATTCTAATGTGCGCTTAAATCAAGTGCACAGGTGCATTGAGGTGGAATATTAATCAGGAAAATCCGCAACAGAAATTGGAAGCATCAATAGAATATTAATATTTAAAGGTTTTATCGCTAAAGCAGAATAGAATCCAGTCACAGAAAATGTCCTATGCATATAAATGAGTGAAATCCATAAGCAAGTAATGGGAATGTGATGTAGTATATGCATGCACGTCTCTATGCATGATACTCTGTCAATTCCTGTGATACACTACAAATATTTTTAGTTTTACATTTTATTTGCCTTCGCTTTGCACATATGCGGGTTTGCGTAATATTTTTAAGGTAATTGCGCTTTTTGTAAATGATGAACCTCGTCTCTGTATAGACACAAACTGAGCGAAAGGGTCCTTTTTTAATTATTCCTATGTAAATAACACGAACAGGAACATGATCAAGCTCTTTTTTTGTAAAGATGTAAGTTCTCATTTCAGTTGAAATAGCTGACTGTAAAGGTACATAATTCAGTTCAGGTATGCGGACTGTCAATGATGAATTCTAGTACTTCCTGACCTTAATAAAAAATATACTTCCAACCCTGAAAAATTTACTGAATATTAAAAATTCGCATAGTGTCCGCTTTTCTAACTGTTCACCCTTGAATTATTTCCATTCAGTCTTCCTGAAATTACGGTAGTATATGGAGTGTAATTAGACTGTGAAGAGATAACTACCTGAATCTGAATTGTAAATAAACTTCAAAGCTATTTTCACTGATCTAATCCCAGTTACTATCACCATATCAATAAATTCGTAACTCAGATATTAAATTGTTAAGTACAAAAAATCCAAAGGTAAACTTTAAAGGGTACGGTGTAGCTACATCTTCAAGTGGGGCATCACCTCAAAGTAGCTGAAGCGGTGATACTGAGGCGACTACAGGACCAATCGAAAGAGAGACGTGTTATTCAAGAAGAGTAATCCCGGAAGGGGCACTCTACGGTTCATTATCTACTGAAAGCGCAAGGATACGTGACAGAAGGCTTCAACCGCAACCATTGCACCAGTCCACGTCTTTTTGGAGCCCACAATGTCTGGCACAACGGGCTGCTGTGAAAGATGCTCGAGTATGGTCTAGGGGGAGACTAGCCATGGTCCAGATCGTAGCATTATACCTCAAAGATAGACGTTTTCGCGTGGTCTTCGAGGAACCGAAGAGCGACTGTCGGAGTAGCATAAGCATCCCTGCTTTCGCCGCACTGCTGTTCTCTCTGTACGTAAAACACAGGACGCAACCCTGGCTATCTAAACCGATGGTACACTAAATCAACGATAGTTGCAAGAAGAGCTTAGCCGCCCTGTTCACGAAGAGAAGATACGAATCCGCGAGTAACCTCACCAATGCAATTTCCTTGAGAACCAAAACGAAGTACCTTGGCGTCGTGCCGGATCGAGATCACACGTGGAGTACCACATCAGATATTGCCCAGAAGGGCTGTACGGCAATAGCGGTGTCGTACCCTCTCCTTATCAGACCTACTGCTCTTCAATCATACCAACAGGTAAAAACTACTTCCGATAAATTACACATGGGCCACTTAACTTTACTGGTTCGGCAAGAATTCAAAATAACACACAATTAAATCCACTCTGCGATAAATTCCTGGTGGCTGACTTAACTTCGTTTCGGATCCACGCGAAGATTCGCACAAAATAAATAACCCCCCACTATGATTTACAAGCCACGGGCTTAACTTTGCTGACTGCTTCGCGCTAATTGTCTCTCGTTGTTCAACGCTAATTACCTCGCGACTCAATACCAATTTTGCGATGGTTCTCTCCGAATGCCCATTCCGGAACTCAACTTTTTAAAAACAAATTTTCCCGCCCAATCAAGGCGCTTGATGTTCATAAATTTACCCCACGGGCAGTGAAATCCCGCAGAATAAGCAAATCTCATTCCGTACCAGGCTCGAAAACGATGACTACTAAATAAACAAAATGTCCATATAATTTAAGGTAACCACGCCATGCCCCACGACTTACTGGCGCCTGAAGCTTTCGCACGCGGGTCCATGCTTAAAGACCAATTGAAAAAAAACCATCAAATAAGACTCCTCTTTATATCTTAAATCGTCGCAATCGAAAAACAAGTCCTAATTGGAAAAATTGAAGTCGAAATCTTGTAACCCTTAGGTATGGTTGCACCTGAGTTTCTGTTGTTTAGTTGCATTTATGACACGCAGTGCCATCTGTGATGATTCTTTCCCGTCCCTGCACGGGTAAATGCCAGAGGAACATACAACGAAATATCAACATAAAATGTAAAAAACATTAAATAAAATTCGGTGTAAAATAAAATGCCTCAACCGACTCCCGTTATAGAGAATCCCTGATACACTCATTGCCATCGTTTTTATCGTTTGATTTTAAAAAATCAAACGTGAACATAGAGGACTTCGAATGACCTTTTAAACAAGCTATTCTTGTCATTTAAAATTTTTAAGAGAATAACCCTAGGGGGCGGTGGGTGAAAGGGGGTAAAGTAGTTTTTGGTTAAAAAGTTGTCTCCTTGACAAATCTTTTGACGTGTCTTGGCGTTTTTTCCTTTAATCAGTGGTTTTCGGTAAATTCGTGGTGGAAAGTTTTCAAATGAACACCCTGTATAACACTAGCGCGAAGTTATTTCGATTTGGAAATACTACTAGTGGAATTAAAATAAGTATGGGAGCGCTCTGAAAATTAGGTTTTGCTTTTCTGCTCACGAAATGGGCCTCATGATCTCAGATGTCCCAAATAATTTAAAATTGGGAAAATTCAAGAATAATACCACGAAAAACTACCACCAGTTTAAAATAGTTTTGTCAACAATGTCCCCGGGCTATTCTACGCTTTGCAATTGGAAATCCTTACATACAAGTTGGGACATAAAATTGACAGATAAATTTGCTACAGATATTCAATTCGTCCCTGAACGTAATATCTATAAAACAAACAAATCAATAAAATTAGAAATGGCGTTTCTGTTTTTCCCGGCGAACTTTTGTTTTTCTACATTAGCATCATCAGTCCATTTTCATATTGATTTTAGGAGGACATTTCCGCTAGAGATGCATAGAGTTATTCCCGTACTCAAGGATCGAGACGCCGTACTTCCATTTGTGTCCGGTGGAATATGCAACATCGATACGGTAAGTAAACTTTATTATTTGATGCCGTTACTATGGTTACTTGCAGATACATGAACGTACTCCACCATAGTATTCGGTTACAGCGTTACACATATGATGATAATGTATTTTTTAGTCGATAGCCGGAAAAATGGCATATTATTGTTTTGTTTATGTCATCACAAGGCAGGTGATTTCCGTACTGTCCGGGAATCTTCATTCCCGTACAGTACGGGAAAATATTCTACAGGGTGTTACACGACCGTTCAAAAAAAAAAAATCGGATGTAGAGGGCATTCAAACAAGCACTTTTCCAAATAAACCGAGGGTCCAACGTGTTTCGTTTGGGAGGCCACCCCCAAAGAGTGTTGAATCTGGCATTTTCTTCTTTAATTTTTTTCTCAGGCAACCATAAGAGTTACAAAGTCGGGTGGCATGTCTTTGAATAGGTTTTTGGGTATGCTCTTTCCGTTTTTGCAATTTTTTTTTCAAAATTCCTACCCCTAAAGGGCGCACCCCTAAACTAGGGTGCAAAAAAAAATTCTGATTTCGACGAAATTTGGTATCTGGGGTTTTTTTTAACATGAAAATCACGAATCT